TTTCTAATCTCTATATATCTGATTATTACTAGTCACAGTCGGTTACTTTCTGAGTTCCTTAGTATAGGAGCATGGATATAAAGTCGTCAGGTAGATTTCAATGGTAATGTTTTTCACATCTACTAATTATTAAGGAGCAAATTTTTATGCTTTGAAGAATTATTTTCTTTTAATTTTTTAAAAATTTAATAACCACATGATTAGAAGAAGCATTTCACTACAGCTTTAACATATTCAGTAACACACTCCAGAGCAAGGATACATCTCTTTCAAGAGTGGCTGTAAATTTTTAGGTTCACAGTTGAATTAATACAGTTATACAATATTGAACACAGTATAGGCCCTGTAAGATATAAAATTGAATGAGTTTTTACCCTTTAAAGAAGATCTCCATTTCAAGATATGCTGTTTCCTACATTTTTTAATACTTTAAAAAAAAATTTTTAGAAGAAGCATATCATTACAGGTTTAACATGCCCAATAACAGCTTCCAGAGCAAAGACACAGCTCCTTCCAAAGTGGCTATGAAATTTCTAGGTTCGCTATTGAATCAATACAGTTATGCAATATTGAACTCAGTATAAGCCCTGTAAGACAAAAAACTGAATGAGTTTTTAACCCTCAAAAAAGATCTCCATTTAATCCTAAAGTATACTGTTTCTTACAGAAAGACTCATTGTTTTTGCTACTAAAACTGAGATGTTGGTGCATGCATCTCTAATCTGTGTGTATCTGATTATTATTAGTCATAATCATTTGCACTCAGATCCTTGATGCCTGTGTATGTCTATAAAGTCTATAAAGTCAGGTAGATTTCAATAGTAATGTTCATCACCTCTACTAATTAACATGACATAAGCTTTCATGGTTCCTCCTCAAATATAATATATTTTTTAAATTTTCTTGATTTTTGGGGGGTGTGTATATCACACAGAACATCCCAAACCATGTTATTCAAGTATACACCCACTTCCCAGATGGCACCTCCCATAGCCTCCCTCCCCCCACTAGAGCCCTTATACTCTGTTATCTCTGCTGCTGTCTGTGTTATTGGCACCCCCAGCTGTTCCCCACTACTTGCCCTTCTGGTGAATCTAGTCAGCCTATCTAGAGGTCTTTGTTTTAGGAAGGTCAGCTGTTCCTCATCTAGCAGCAATCAGTTGTCGGTATTCCTTTAAATAAGATTGGGGTCTGCTGTTCATTTTCCCACTTCTATGCTGGGTTACTATCTGGGAGTCCCTTAAGCCACCCTGGCCAACAAATCAAAAGAAGGTATTTCTTATCTGGCGTTTTGCTTGTTATGTAGCCTTTAGCTATACATATGTACTCTTAAAAATTGGCCCCTTTAATCTTTGGTTATACTTCCCTTTTGGGTGTTTCACACCACACAGCTGACCCAAATAAACCAATTTACTTTAACTCTTAAGGTTGTTTGAGGATCTGTTCCTCAGGAGTCACATGGGCTTGGGAGGAGCCCCTGGCTCCTTTCTTTTACCAGTTCAGCCTATGTGAAGATAAGTCAAAGGTCCTGCTCAACCATGGCTGGCTTTGCTTGGAAGCATGGAGGAAATGATTTCTCTGTGTTAACCCTCTTCTTTGTAGACTGGACACCTGTTCATGTCCATCTCGTGGGATCTCCTTGGCCTCCTGATCAGGAGGACAGGTGACCCACCACAATTACAGGACATTTTGGGAGATGCTCATAGTCCCCTGAAACTAGTCGACCTAGGAGGGCAAGGAGCAAAAACTGTCCTTTATGTCTCTCTGACCAAATTAGTATAGGCCTCAGAGTATGTCTGTTAAACATCCAAGAAGGTTAGTTCCACTAGTCTGGTACTTTTAATTACTGTGTACCATGTAGATAAATCTTGGGCAAAGACCAATTGTTCTCAAATAAACCTTACCTAGACATATATTTCTTGATCTGATAAGTATAATTTGTCAGTAGGTTGTTGTACTAATATGGTTCCCACTGGTTTTAAAACTAGCTAGGCATTTTTTATCTCTCGCATTGTCTAACCCCTCCACCATGGTTTCCCCAATTAAGGTGACCCCATTTTCCCCCTTTCTCCCTTAATGATACCCTTCTCCTATGGTCCTACCTCTCTTGAGCTCCTTCTTTTCCTTTATCCCCTAGGTTCCTTATATAACTCCCCCCCCCGCCCTTAAACTAACCCAATTTTTATCCATGTCTCTCTTAGTAATGCCTCTTTTTTGCTGTTCCTCTCTTTCAGGTTTTTCTTTTCCTTTATCTCCCTGGTTCCTTTTCATTATCCTGGTTCCTTTAGTTATGTCTGGATACATACTCACTTAAATATTTGGTGCTAGAATCCACATATGAGGGAGAACATACATCATTTTTCTGATTCTGTGTTACTTCACTTATAACAGTTTCTAGTTCCATCCATTTACGTGTACAAGTGTCTCTGAAATAGGATGAGTTCTTTGGGTATATGCCAAGGAGTGGTATAACTGGGTTAAAT